ACCTCTGCTTCCCATCCTCCCTTTGTTTGTCACGTCAATTTAAACTGTAAACTCTGCAAGACAAGATGTGTTTGTATAGTGTCTAGCACTGTCTCTCCAGCCCCTCAAAGCCCACCCCACCCCCAACACACACAGGTCCCCCCTTCCCCTCCAGGTGAGAAACAAGCTGGAAAATGCCAGTCCAATGTATTTTTTTCCACCTAAAAAGTGACTAAGCAGCAGAAAAAATCAAAGCTAAGAACCCCCTCACCTATCACATTATTAAGGGGAGGTAGGGCTGTGAATTTATAGCATTTACTGAGTTTTCTCTAATGACTAAAGGAGAGCATTGTGGAGCATCTTAAAGGGACAGTCATTCCTCATGTCCTTTAATTATTGATGGGCTCTACGGATGGTCTGTGAATGACCCTAATAAGATGCACGATGATTTGAGTTTCACGAGTTTATAGCAGTGTGACGGTTTGATCCACCCCTACATACAGCTCCTGACACTGCTTACCGAGGTCTGTAAACTTCCCACAATCCTAATCCTACCCAGAGCCAGGATTGAGCAGCAGCAGCCCTTCCCCAGGATCTATCCTCACTTTACCCATCAGTCCACCCTTGGCTTTATACTTGGCAAAAACCTTTCTGGAAGCTTGGAACAAAAAACCAAAAAACCCCAAAACAAAAGTTTAATTCCTTACTGCGCATACCTCCCCTGGCCCGCGGGGCTCACACCCCACCTGTTGTTGAGTGGCGGCTCCAGGAAGGGCCCCCCACTGACTATCAGGGATCCTGCTTTTCTCCGATAAAAACCCCCCCCAATTTTCAGATTTAAAAAAGTAACTCAAAATCCACATATATAGATCTATATACTAGCAGCGTTTCATTTTAATCACGGAAAAATGTGGATTTTGAGTTACTTTTTTAAAATAAAAAAATTAGGGTTTGTTTGTTTTCTTCCAGAGAAAACCGGGATCCCTGTCGATTACAGTGGGACCACTTACAACCCCGAGCTTTGGGGCATTTGTTTTCGCTGGGAGCGCCTCCTGCGAGCTGCGGGCCACCCCTGCCTTGGCACTGGGCAGGCTCTGGAGAGCGCCGGGCTGGCTGTCGGGGAGCCGCGGGGGCTCCTGCGACTGCGACCCGGCTATTAAAACCAGCACTTGAAAATAAAGGCCCTTCGGCACAATGACCGCCTTGCGGGGCGCGCCCGGGGGAACAAGGCTGGGCCGTTCTTGGGGCCGGCAGGGTCTGGGCCTGCCCCCCTACGACCAGCTAGGGCGACATTGCCGGCTCTCTGCAAGTCCCCGTGGCCCGCGCTGTCGCTGGCCCTGCCCTGGCCATTAGGGGCAGCACCAGCTTAGGCCCCTCGGCCCCCTGCAAGGAAGGGGCTGCAGGACCCGGTTCAGCCTCCCTGCAGGAGCCCCCGGCCCCGGCCCCAGCACTGCCCCAAGGTGCCTACCGGGGTGCAGAGGCAGCTCCACCGCCCCAGCCAGGCCCGAGCCTGTCCAGGGACCAGGAACAAGGCGCTGAGACGGGGCAGGTGCCACAGGGACGCAGCGCTGAGGAAGCTGGGAGCAGGCTCCCGCTGCCGGGATGGCTTCACCACTAGGCGTCTCCCTGCCCAGCTGCCTCAGAGCTGCCTGCCCAAGGGCGGCCCATGCAGGCCCCTTTGGCCTCATGGCATGAACCCTGCCCTGCCTGGCCAAGAGCCACTGCCCCGCCGAGCAGGTGCTGCCGCCAAGTGCGCTGCGACCCTGCGCCCACCATCAGAGGAAGGCCTGGGTGCCAGGGTTTGAACTCCTTGCTTTCCACGTGCTCTCAACCTTACCCTTCCTTCTCCCATCCCCTGGCTTCATCTGAATCTCGTCACACAAAAGCCTGTTTCAGGGCAAAAGCCTCTTCCCACAGCTCCTGACATTTGGATCAGATCTGCCGCCCCACCCCGCCTAAGTCCTCTACATCAAACCTCAGCTGACATGACTTGGAGTCAGTCAGAAAAGGCTTGGGTGGGAGGGAAGAGGCAGGCAGCGCAGCTGGGAAGCGCTACTTTTGTTCACTGCATTCACCATACGTCTGCTCTTGGGGCTTTTTTCATTTGCTTGCTTTCTCTTAAATGTTTTCTTGATTTCTCCATTTTTTTTGGAAAAGAAAATAGACTTGCAAAAATAGGAAAGAGGGCAAGAAGGGAAAACAAAGGAAAATGAGGAAAGGAAAGAGCTACCAAATTCAAAATGCACCACAAATTTGGATTAAAAAAAACAAAACAAAACAGCCCAGCCCAAGCAGTTTTCTGCAGATTTGTTTCATTTTAAAAAAGGCCACTGAAGTGGGGGTGGGGGGGAATGTCTTAAAAAATAATTGCCATGGTCTCTGCTGGGCACAGCTCCTGTAACACCCCACTGCCACTGCTTCATGTCGCTCGGTAGCAATGACTACAGAGACAAACTCCTTGGAACTGCCCAAGGCAGCATTTTTCAAGAGGGCAGGGAAATGTGTACATTTGAAAAATATGCAGTCCTGGGAGAACTGGGGGCCTATAGCCTCACTAACGTTTGGGAGCCTTCATAATACAGACCTCTTTTTTCTGGTCAGCCTCAGCCTCCAGCTATAACTGATGCCATGCAGTACAGAAGTGCCATATGCTCAGGGCAAATGGTGTGGGTCTTCATGTTCTGAATAAGGGATCCGGCTGCAATTTTGCTCTCTTCAGCCCTTGGTCAGCAACGACCTTCAGCCAGATGGTACCGTGATGACAAACTCTTGCTGGAGTTGGGGCTAGCTGACAAGTACCACCTGTCAAGCACCCTTGGTTTGGAGGTGGTGCTGTCTGGCCTGATAAGGTGTCAAGCACTAATGGCCATATGGGCTGACAGTGTGCTGAGGCTGGGGAGCTTCTGCAGATTCCCTTAAGTCCTTTGGGAAGCCCAAGCTGGGAGATGGTGCTATTTCTCCACAGGGTTAAGCACTGATGGTTATTTTGGGAGACAATAGTTAAGCTTGTTAGGTCTCCACTGCCTTCCCTAAAGGCCTTCAATCTGAAATGAATGGATTTGCCCAAGCTGAGAGTGGGGTCAAGCACTAGAGTCATTTGAGGGGGTTGTGGGGCCCGCCCCCAGTCCCACTCCCCTTAAGGCAGTTTTGTGTAGCTTGCTTATGTACCCAAGCCTTGGGGGTGCTGTCCCAACTCATTGCATGGGATCAGCACTTAGCCACTTCAGGGGTTCAAGGTCTGCATGGGCTTTCATTCTGGTCTTAAGGCCCGTGGGTGGGATAGCCCCACCCAGAATCAAGCTAGAAGTGGTGCTGAATATCTTGACAGAAATGTAAAGCACCCTGCCTGCCTCCCTTTGCACTGGGTTTTCACATTCACATTGCATTATCCACCACTGTTCTGTTTTTCCTCTTGTCTGCTGTTCCACTTCCAAGTTGCCCCCTCCCACTGCACTACTTTTCTTTACAGTTGGGCAATCTTGTAATGACTAAAACAACCATGCAGTTGGCACAATGACTGAAAAGAGATTCATGGCAGTTGTCACTCAACTTGTCTCAGGTTGGACAGGCCACCTGGGGTTTTGGCCCTGAATAACCTGAAACAAGTTCCCCTTGGGGGTCCTCCTAAATAGCTGGGAAAAAAAGGCTGTAGGAAGAGGAGCAGAGCTTAGGAACAGCCCACACAGTAAATAGAACTGAAATAGGTGTCAGTTGTAACTCAGACCATGGGGCATTTTAGTCACATCAAACTCTCTCTCCAAATGCTTATTTACTGGGACAGAATATGAGCAGTCACAGTGGAGCATAGCCATGCATCTCCTATTGACAGGAGGTCAGAGCAGGCAACTGGCCATGTATCCTAACAGTTCACCTTTCTTCAGCTGAGAATAACCTTGGGAGACATCTCAGATAAGATGCATTCCTGTGGGGATTTACTCCAATATGCCAGCAACCATTCATAGTTCTGGAGAGCATCAGTCTAGTACCAAAAAAACAAAACCACGAACACATGACCAGGAAACTATAGCTCATCACAATGGGTGCAACCTTCATATTAACAACTCTCAGCCCTGCATCACTCAGCTCACAGGACTGGATCCAACTTTTTCTTCTTGAGTTCCTATTGGCTCAGCTCTCAAATGGTGAGTGTGTTGAACATGCATGATGATTGACTTACAATTTAGGAAATGCCAGTTCAAATCTATGCTTTGTTGAGCCTCACCATGAGACCCTGGCCAAGTAACTCAGTCTCTCTGGAGCTCAAGTCCCCAGCTGCCAGATAAGTGCAACACCCCTGCCACAGCTCACAGGTCTGAGGGGGTAAAAAATAAGTGCAACAACCCTGCCACAGCTCACAGGTCTGAGGGGGTAAGTATTAAAGACTGACACACTCCTTCAAAAAGCTCATTAATGGGCACCCCTGAAATACTGTGGATGCCCTAGTGCAGAGCTGCTTGATCCAGCACAAAGGGTTAAGAGCTTTCCTAGCTGTAGTCAGCTCTTTACTTCTTTACTTTCAAAACCATTAAACCCACAGCTAAACAACCTAACATACCATCACCAAGGTGAACACTTGGCTATTAGACCCAACTGAACACCACTGCTTCCAAGAATCATTTACCAGACCACCATCCCTTTGCAGGGGCATGAGGGAGCAGGAAACAGAGGATTAGATCACAGGTGAAACCACCTATAGAGCAGACTTTGCAAGGGCCTCATTAGCATCTAGTGCACATCCCCACTAAAATAATAACAAAAAAACCCACCACCTGGGTCCTGTTAAGCTTATAGAGAAAACTGTTTCCTTCACAGGAGCATAATACACAGGAGCTGATATCATACCCACACCCTTAACAGAAAACTGCAACATGGTGGGGACTGATTTGGTTTAATGCCCCTCAATCCAAGTTTGACCCCTTCTTCCTTGTGCAGAAAGTGTCCTGCAGGATGCAGCCACGTGGCTAGCTCATGGGAGACAGAGTACTCAGATGTACAGAAGGAACAGACCAGAGACAGCAAGCTAGGAAAATTCTTTTTTAATTAAGTACAATAAAATATAAGCCATGTACAGTACCCCAGTCTTTGGGGGAGACTCACTCCGAGCAAGGGAGGTGAAGGGGCAGTTTTCCCAGGCAAAGGTCCCTGGACTTTGTACAAAGGGCCCTGGAGTTCCCCAGACAGCAAAACAAACACACACACCAGGAAAGGAACATGCCTACTTCTGACAGCACCCGCCACAAGTTCCTATTGAAAGGGCCCCAATGCCTGGTTTGAGCCAACTCACTCCCTTCACACGTTTTTAGCCTTTTACGTATACAAAAAACCCCGTGGCAGGATGTGTATGCCTTCTCTCATTTAATACACCGCTCAGCTTCTCCACGGTGACCTTTTGGCTGTCTTAAATTGTACTGCTGCAGCATCTAGGGTCTGCCTGCTTCTCCTTTCTGTGCCCTGGATTTGAGAAGTCAGGGAGAAATCCCCTGCTTCCCTTATTAAATGAGAGCCCTTTTCTCTTTCAAGACATATCACAGTGGACTCTCACCATGCACAATGGAAAAAGAGAAAAGAAGGTAGGAGACAACCAATGCTTTCCAGGGAGGACATTCTCCACCTAGGGTCTGCCTCACCACTTGGCTTGATGCCATCCAAGCTTGGGAAGCAGATTCAAAACAGTATCACAGCCCCCCGTAAAGTAACCCAGAAGGATTTGGGGGGCACGGGGGAGAAGGGGAAGAAATATGCTTTAACTCAGTTTTTCCCCTCCCAAGACAAAGCCGAGGGTCAACCTCACACAGACACTGATGGCCTGCATGGGGTGCAGCCTGTCTTCAAGCAAGCATGAGGTACAGTCCAGAAAGCAAGCCTCAATAGGCTAAGGGGGCATGCCAGTCTTGCGAATGTCTGGTTCTGCCCCCAAGGAAGCTCAGCAGCCCCATCATTCCCGTCGTGCCTTCTTGGTTTTCTTCTTTTCCAGTTTCAAGGTGGCATCATGAGCTTTCCTCTTTTCAGCGAGTTTGTTTGCCTGTTGGGGAAAGAAAAGGATGGGAAGCCCTTCAAAATTAAATCTCCAAACACTGTTGTCTCCTCTTCTCCCAACCCCTGCACTCTTGGCAGCTCCTTCTGCTATAGCAAACCTGGAGATGGACCCAAACCGTAGTTCCTCCAGCATTTGAGGTTGACTGACTTAGACCCAAGCATCCCCCTTGCTCTGGGTGGGGAACAGCTTGCTGCTTGTCCAGAAAACTTAAGTAGCATCAAGTAAATTACTCTCTAGGTTAGCCTGACAGTGGAGGATGGTATGTGCCACAGATAGAGGCTCTCAGACCTTGAGAAGGGTACCCCATGACCACATCAGGGGAATAATCTCATCAACTCCGCTCCCCTTGGTACAAAGCCTCTGTCAACTGCTGCCCTCTATCAGTTCCTTTTAGAGACAGTGGGGCTGATATTGTGGGGAAGTACAAGCATGTCTACAGCCCTCCACAACAGGGGGTTCAGACATGCCAGCAGAACCCTGAGGCCAAACAAGGGCCAAAACAAAGCACAGTACACAGGGGAATAAAGTTTAATGCTAAGTGGGCAGAAGGGGAGGAATATAGCAGGGAAATCCCCAATCACTTCAGTACCTTATGCTATGGAGCCCCAAGTCTAACTGTGCAACTCTTGTAGTGACTCCTACCTATAAAATTTACCACTTCCATTCTGTATACACCAGAAACAGCACAGCCTCATGGACTGACTGAGGCTGGGAGTCAGGAACACTGTTCCTATCATGACCAGTGGACCTGCACCAAACATCTCAATGTCTCAGCCTCCCCCTTGTTACAGAGATGATGTCCTTACCAAAAGGGTGGAGACTGCCCAGCCTTTCTGCAATGTTCAATATGCAGAAAGAAGAGTCCTTTGTGAACTACCCCCAGTCCCAGTGTTATGTCAGTCCCACCCAATTAGAGTACAGTGCTCCCATCTGTGTGATGGGTAACTCATCTCTTCAGAGTGTACTCTAGGAGGTGGGAGCTGGCTGAGGGTTTTAAGATTCAATGCCCTGGCTCCAGAAACCAAGGGGCGAGTGTCTGGTACTCCTGTCCTTGGGAAGGGAACATTGGCTCTGGTACCTCTCGGACTTTGCGTTTCTTGCCAAACATTATTTTCTGGTACAGGTATTTCTCCTTCTTCTTCATCATCATGATGGCAAGACGTTTCTCCTCGTTCTGTTCCTCTTGCACCCGTCGCTGCTTGTCCTCCAGCCGCACTGTGCCTACTGTCACCTTCACAGGGAGTTTCTAGGAGAGCAGGAGAGGCCCAATGAGCCCACGGTTACAGAGTGACCTTCTACAGACAACTAAGAAGCCAACTGTTTCTTTTCTGCAGTGTACTGCAAAGCTCCATGCAAACTGGGCCAGTGGGGAAAAAGGGCACAGCACATATACCAGGTGTGTCCACAGGGACATACTCATACCCTTCCCCATGAAAATGGCCCAGCTCAAATTCCTCAAAACAAACAGCAGCATGGCCCTACCCTAAAGGGTCTGACTGCTGAGCATGGATAAGCTGAGCAGAGCATGATCTAGGAAACAGCTGGAGTGAAAGGCAGGCACCCAGCCTCTCACACACAAAAAAGCTCACCTAACATTAAGGCAGAAACTGTCTGAGCAGATTCCAACAGCAAAAGTGTTATGATTTGTGCATTCCAGGCACATATTTAACTGCAGAAAGTCATGGAAAACAGAGCATATACCCAGCAGTGCCAGTACTGGCTCCAAGAATTTTAGACACTCTGCCTTGGCATTGCATTGATCTGTGACTGTGGGTCCCTTCAAGCTTCTTCAGACAGTGTCTGCGCCCTTCCCTGGCTTGCAGTCCCCAACTGTTAAACTACAGAGCTAAAAGCATGAGTGACTATAGCCTAAGCTAAAGGACCAAAGCTTCTCAAGCCAGAGCTATAATAGACTTGTATCTTCCACAGATAAAGCAGAGTGGGGCTGATAATACACTCCCTTGATCTCACTTATGAGCACGAGATAACACGCGCACACAAAAATTCAGTGGGTGATAAACTTTATGAAGCTCAAGAGGACTGATTTGGATTCACTGAGGGCCAGGTCCCAGCCCTTTAAATGTTCTGGCTAAGCTTCAAGCCTCAGCCTGGATTGTTTTAGCCCTTTCAGATACTAGAGGCAGGAGGCCATATTCTACTCTCACCCCATCCCCACTGAGGAAGAGACCTTGGTTAGACAAACCAACCAGGGAAGAGCTTGGGCCCAAGACAAGAGTGTTTCTCAGAGTTATGCAGAGCTGAGACTGGGGGCACAGAAGAGAATATATTCAGTAAGCTGAATTCTGAAACAGGCCATCAAGTAAGAAAGAAGTATGAGGGCAGCACAGACAAGAGCTGAAGATGCATCTTCCCAGCAATGAAGACACCCCCTACAAGGTTCAACCAACTCCAAAGCCAGCCACAATACCTTTCCCTGAGTTTTCTGCTCTTCCATCCGCTTCAGTTTCTCCTCCTCTTCCTTTTCAGAGTCATCTTCCTCTTCTGAGCCATCATCATCTTCCTCACCACCCTCCTCCTCTTCCTCTTCCTCCTCCTCCTCCTCCTCTGTGAAAGGCAAGGAAGCAGTGTTACCACTGAAGGCAGATTCTGTGGGAAGTATATGAATCTACATCGGGGTGGGCAAAATGTGGCCCATGGGCCAGATGCGGCACACCAGGCAATTCTATCTGGCCCAAAGGCCCCTAAAAAAATTGGAAAATAAATATTTATCTGCCCCTGGCTGCCTGTCATGCAGCCCTCAATGTCTTGCCAAAACTCAGTAAGCAGCCCTCCGCTCAAAATAATTGCCCACCCCTGATCTACATGCTGCTGTTACAAGGTTAAATAGTACAAGTTGGCTAAGACCCCTCCAGCACTCAGAGGTGACCCAAGATGGGGATACTAATGGTAGTACATGAATCAACTCAGCATGGAGGGCAGAGGTTGCAAGAGGTGGGAAAGCTGGTTAGATGGACTCTGGACAGATTCTGGGGCATGGGTCCTGCCATTACCTGGGTTCTCTCCCCTCTGCAAGGCCAGAAGCTTCAGCTTCTCTGGTGGGATATAGTCCCCATCCTTCTCTGCGACAAAGGGGGAGAGGTGTGGGGGCAGTAGTACACCAGGAAAGTAGTCAGCCACTGGGAGGCACATCTTAGCATTGACTGAATCGAACACCCACTGTGGCTGGAGATAATACCTACAGAGAGAATAGAGAGCATTGTCAAAGAGGGCCAAGCCACTAGGAGTTCGATGGGGGATGGAAAACAGCTGCATTTCCTGTATTTGGCATCTGGAGGATATGGAGCAGAGTGAGCAACTGATGTTCCAAGAGAAGGGGATAGGGACACATACCTTCACTTGGGGCCCAATCCAAAGTGCACTGAAGGCAGTGGAACATCAAGGCACAACTGCTCAGAGCACTAGAGTGGAGCTGGATGGGGTCTTCACCAGCTTCCAAGTGGGAACAGTCAATGGAACCTCCTGACCATTCATGCAGAAGATACTACCACATCCAGCCCAGTAAGCTGACAAAAGTGCTCACCTGCTAATGACCTGCTTCTCTAGGTTGGGCCGGTCAACTATCTGGTGGGTGATGGTTGGGTCTGTCACATCATAGGTGGCTCCAATGCATACGGACTTGTCCCAAGACACTTCACCCCCAAAACACCTGCCAACAAGGAACACCTCCTGAAAAATTCATCTGGTGAGCTGTAATCAGAACCAGTCTTGGGACAAGGGACAGAATGCAGCATGGGACAGACAAGGGCCTGGCATTTGTTGTACATCATGGTCACTGAGGGTTGTAATATTCCCAAAGTCTAAAGACAAGTGAACCTTGACATCCCAGAGAAGCAAGAACACAAACAATGTCCTGCTGCCTTGTGACCAAGGCCAAAGAGGAATACAAAAGCCCTGGTCAGCTGGGCCCAAAGTACTTTTTCCTCCAATTTCATATCCATACCTGAGCTTCAAGGCTGTTCCTAGGAATCCCAGTCACCATAGTCTTAGGAAGACTGCTTCATACATGCACTAGACCAGGGGTTGACAAAATATGGCCCATGGGCTGGATTCAGCCTGGCCAACTAATTGTACCTGGCCTGCAGGATGGCGGACACAAAGTCACAGGATCTGGCCTGTGGGGAGCCAGTGGATCTGGCTGCTGCATCATGCTGGCATGTCCTGGCCCCGACTGCAATTTACACTAGCTCCCAACCCATATGTCAGAAGCAGTGCCAGACGCAAGCCAGGATCAGCTGTGGACACTACTTGCAGGTTCTTGCTGGGGACTGGGGCAACTGCTTGGGACTGCAGCTGGCATGAGGCAGATGCCCCGATCCCGAGTGAGAACCTACAGGCAGCGTCCACAGCTGATGCTAGTGCCTGCCTAGCACTGCTTCTAGCATGTTGGCTGGGAGCTGTTGTAAGCTGCAGGGATGTGCTGTAGGTGTGGGACATTTCGGGAGGGGGAGACAGAGGCGGTCCTGCCCACCATAAGCTGCTACAGGGTGGCCTGGAAGTGAGGCAGGGTGGTGGAGGAAGGGAGGAGCCACAAGACAGCCCCAGTGTAGGCTCTGGGCGGCTGCAGTCAGGAGGGACCCAGCAGTGGCAAGCATGCATGCCTGCTACTGGGTCCTGCTTTTGCACAGCACCAGCCGCCACCACTCATTGTGGGCAGGGCAGCTTCTCTCAGTCTTCCCCTCCCTAAACCATCCCGTACCTACAGCACATCCCCGCACCTTATGGGAGCTCCCTGCATGCCAAAAGCAGGGCAGGTGCCGGTATCAGCTGTGGATACAGCCAACAGGTTACTGCTGGGGATCAGGGCATATGCCTGAGCCCCTCCTTGGGGTGGAAGGGCAGGCCAGAAGCTGAACCTGCTGCCCACATCCATGCCAGCTCCTGCTCCTGTCCACAGCCCTCTCTCACATAGGAAGGTCTGATGAGCTGTTGGGGAAGGGGTGGGGGGAAGGAGGAAGGGAGAAAGAGGAGAGGGCGGGGTGCTGGCCTGGCTTGCAACAGCTCCCTAAAGTTGCCTATGTGGCCCACAGGCCCAAATAATTGCCAACCCCTGCACTGTACAAAATAATTCTCTTTTTATGGTTAAATGGCTCCTCTAAGGACTTCTCATTGCTCAGGCTCAGTGACTTCCCCCATCACTAATACTGTTCCCCCTTGACAGCTAATTCTGGAGTCGCCAACTCCACAAACCACTGCACCTCCTGCACATACCAGCATGCAGGAGCAGACAGTGCCCAATTTATACATACCGGATGATGAAGGCCAGGGGCTCCCGAGGCACCTCCCTGTTTAGGAAGAACCGCAGCCCCTCAAACAACTTCTTTTGCTTCTCCAAGGACTCCTGTTCTTTTCTCCTTGCCTCCTCATGCTCTGCACTCTCCTGTTCAAAGCAACGTGCTATTAGGGTTGCTTCTGCTGTCACCTTTCCCTCTCCTTGCAAGAACCTCCCCGTTGCCTCCACTTTCTCCAGGAACTGAGAAAGGATCCAGTGGAGCAAGTGCCCTCCCACTGTTCATCTCTGTCTTCAGCCTGGGTAGCAGGTGCATCATCCTGTATACTCATAGTGAGCAGTGTCTGGTACACTTCTTACCTCCCCAGGCTGTATCCTGCCAGTCCTCAAGGACTGCAGGAAACTACTGCAAATGAAATAATGCAGTCCCCACAACATGTTCCACATGTCTGAGTTGACCCCAACTCTTACCCCATCCACAGGGAATTCATCTATTTCCACTTCATCCTCTGGGTTTGGGGCAACCACCCGGGCCAGGCTGGCGCTCAGAGCAGAGAGTTTCTGCAGGAAGGGAGAAGAAGAGAAATTCATCTTTTGCACAGGTGCTTTGGTGTGTGGGTGTGTGTATGGAGGGAGAAACGGAGGAAGTGCATGCAATGGTAGTGGTGGGGGAACAGGACTGTCCTTCTGAGAAAGGAATAAGGCAGCTCTCAGAGGGAGGGTTAAGATCCTAGAAATGGAAAGGTACTCCTGTACTGGCTGCCACTGGAGGTCCTGCTTTACAAAATGCTTTGAAGCCCCACCCCCAAATATACAATGTACTTACAATCAGGTGTGCAGCACTGGGAGTGGAGGGGCTTCTTTCTAAATTATTATTTCCTTGCCCAGGATGAACTAAATTACCCCAGAATGCATCAAGGAACAGAGCTCAGAAGCCTACCTCAGCCCATCCAGAGGGACTGGAGCAGCCAGCAGTATGAGCAGCACCTGCAAGTCACCCCTGGGAGTACCCAATTAAGGAAATGGAACAAGAGACAGTGCAGCACACAAGCAGTGCTGGAAGCACTAGGGAAGGGCCTGTGTTCTCGATGCTAGGGTGGCTGCTTTCAGTTCCAGGGGGCCAGCAGATTCCAAACATAGCTCTCATAAGTAGGGGTCTTCAGAACTCAAGGAGGCAGCCGGCCAGTCTTTTTGTAGGATGAGCAAGGCAACCTCCCTCATGGCTCTAATTGACCAAGGGGCCCTGGCAGTCACACCCCTCCCTGCAGATTGGCAGAGGGCTTGAAACCACAGCTTAATTATCCTGATTAAGCTAGGGGAAGCCATTCATCCATGCATTATTAATGGCTTCCCTGGGCTTAATCAAGGTAATTAACCATCCCCAAGCAGGGAGGCAGCAAGCAGCTGCACTGGGGTCCTAGGCCAGCTGTGGCAGGCAGACAGGAGGCTGCAAGTGGCTGCACCAGGTCTACAGAGACCTGGCCTAGCTTGTTGCCAGCAGCAGGTGCAGTGCAGCTCCAGCCCCTTGCCTGCCATCTGCCTGGAGGTGTGCATGCACCTGCTGCCAGCAATGAGGCAGGCCAGGGCTCCCTGTACCCCAGTGCTGCTGTTTGCAGCCTCCACACCACAGCCAGCCCAGGCTCCATGGGTGGTGGCAGGGGCCAGGCCACAGCCCAAGCCAGCTGAGGCAGGATGAACTCCAGTGCAGCTGCTTACATGGAACCCCAAGCTTGTTAGGCATGCACACCTGCCACTGGTAATGAGCCAGGTCAGGGCTCCATGGACCGCAGGGTAGGTGTTTGCAGCAGTTCCCCCACCCCTCATGCTCAAAGACTGCAGGGCTTCTCACCCCTTCCTTTGCTTGCCAGTAAGTTTTTTATTTTATTAAAGTTTTTTTTAATTGAACCTGCCAGACTCATGGAGCCTGCCATTTTTTGCGTTTTCCACAAAAAATGTGAAATCATGATTTTGGTAGGTCCCTTCTCATAGGATTGCAGGGCCTCTCACCTCCACGTAGCTCTCAGAGTTCAGGGCATAGGCCTCCCCTTCCTTGGGCTTCAGCTCCACCTCGGCCTGGCCTTCAATCTAAAAAGAGGGAACAGTGAAGATGGACACAGAGCCCCCTCCTTTTCCAAAATCTAGCAATAGTTCCTGAACCCATTCTGGCTCTTCCCTTCCCCAGCCAGAAAGGGCCACCCACTGGGTGAAATACAAGAAAGGGCAGGCTGCTTCCTCAATACTACAAAGCCAAGGAGGAGGAAAGAGACCAAGATCAGGAGAAAGCGCAGGTCATCCCTTGCAGAACAGAATGACCAGGCCAGAAGTGAGGACAAGCTTTCCCCTGGCTCCAGGGGGACAGCCTGGCAAGCCCCTCAAGAGCCTTGCCTACCTCACCTTTGGGGGGTAGTGTAGGTTGAGAGACTGGTAGAGGCGAAAATTGACAAAGCCCAGCAAGGTGGTGTAGAACTCTGTGAAGGTTGCCATGACCCTGTAGTCCACATCTGTTGGGTGCTAGGGGAGACACAAGAAATCAGTTTGGACATAGAGAGCAGGAATAAACAGCCCACAGCCCACCTGTTACTCCCCAGGGGACAGGAGCCCAGGGACCTTTCTACACCACCGGTTGGCCTGGGGGAAAAAGAGGTCAGGTCTCTAGCAGGAAGGCAACCTGGCCTAGTGGGGAGGCCACAGGACACCTGGGACTCTACAGCTGTCAGTAACTTGCTGCTTGACCTGGGGTTGGAATCTGTGTGCAGATGAGGAAACAGACACAATGAAAATAACAACAGTCCCTGCTCCAATAAAACCTCTTCCTGGCACATGCCTAGCACTACTTCTTCGAGCAGGAGGAGAAATCAGGCCATATCCCTCTACCCAGGCAGCAGGCCAGTTCCAGCCTTCTCTGTGGTGGAAGCAGCCCCCAGCACATTTACCCAAGAAAGCTCAGTTTCCAGGCAACGGCAGGAAACTCCAGGTTAAGTGCACCCTTTGCCTCCATCCATCCTGCAGGCCTGTCTCGCACAATTACCCACTCAATGTTTACATGAGCTGCCTCTGTGCTCAAGACCTGCAATTTCTCACCTACTTATTAAAAGGTGCAAAAAGATCAGAGCATGAACCATGGGGAGGTCATTACCTTGGGAGGAGATGCCCAGGGGCTGACAGGAAGTGAGCCTGCAGCCCTGCCTACCCAATTCCCTAGTAGGGAAGAGAGGGGCACAGTGGGTTACAGCAAGGTGTCCCCAAAGAACAACGCCTATCCCTCACATGTTGCCCTGGGAGGCACATGGAGCAGCCCAGGAACAAGGGCTGGAACTTTCTGATATCCACAAAAGATGGTTCAATGCATGCAGGAAGAAGATTTTCTAGAACATCCTAGCCCTAGTTCAAACATGTTCTGAAAGATGGGACTAACAGGCAAGACTACCCAGTTCCACACAGTGAAGGACAGGGCGCACACACATAAACAACGATACCATTTAGAAGTTAGAGGGAGGGAGGAGGGCAATGGGGAGAAGAGGATCTAGCACAAGTCAGTTAAATCTCCTGTCCGCTCCTCTCCTGAAGTAAGTGGGTATTAAGGCAGGGTGGGCTGACCTCCGAATGAGCTGTTACAATTTAGCTTCACTTACTGTAGGGTAGAGGTGCACACACAAAAAGAGGTCAGCTGATGTGTGCTCAAAAACTAAGTACCCTGGCCTTAAAACAGTGTAACTGTTCATCTGTCCATACGATCAATTTATCAACACCTGCACTGGAACGTGTTACAGACACCTTTAAGGGGGAAAGCAGTGGACCAAGAGCAACTGCTTTGGTCAAAGCCCTTAGGTAGGGAGGGAGAGAGCTGGACAGGTGCCCCAGTGGCTGTTTGCTTTTCAGTTTCCAGGGTTCTTGGAAGACTCAGGAGGGAGTGTCGGGGGCCCACACAATGGTCAGAAATTTCCAATTAGTTGGAAGGACAGAAAATAGGTTGTCAGGGCCCAGCAGCTCTTTCAGTAAATAACTTAGCAAGAGGGACAGCCACAGGCAGAGAGAGACTTCCCCATGAAGAGGAGCCACCCAGACCTCCAGGAGATATCACGAAGGAACAAAAGCAATTTCTTCCAAGAAAGGCTCTAGCTCAGTCAAAAATTATAATCCGGATTAAAAGGAACAAGGGTGAAGTTCCCTTGCCCATATTATGTAAGAAGGCAAACAAGGGAGGAATTAACAGTTCCCTTGGCTTTGATAACACTGAGCCAATAAGGAGAACAAATTGGTAGCTGAAGAAGGGGGCTATGGCAAAGAATGCAGAGCAGGCCAAGAACAGAAGGGCCATGCAACCTTTTGCATTTGCATCTCAGAGACTAGTGACACAACTACAGTTATTTACTGAAGGATCCTTGCCACATTTACTAGGGTCCACTACCCCATGTGGTGCCCACTAGCTGCAGGATCTGGATTACAGAGAGCATCTGATGTTCCAAAAGAGGGGGATCGGGGCAGATGTCTTGACTTGGAGCCAAATCTGAAGCACACCGAAGGTAGTAGGAACATCTTGGCACAACTGATGCAGGAGGGAAAAGGGGCCCTACAGCAGGGACTGCCCAGAAAGCATCACGTGACATTTTTCAAAGGACATAAGAGTTTGTAGAGTACTCCCTCTTGAAGTCCAGAGACCAGGTGCCCTGCAACAGCGTTTCTCAACTCATGGGTTGCAACTCAGAAGTGGGTCACATGAATATATGAATGGGTCACAAACAAACTTTAAAAGTAGATCATATTTTGCATACTTTAATAAAAAAAAAAAAGATGTTGCTTGTGCTTCATCATGTTAATGCTGTGTATACTAACAAACAGGGATCCGGGTTTGTTAGTGGATTTTCTCCTTTAAAGAGCTGCGGTAGAGCTGTGGCAGAGCTCCGGGCCTGGTGCAGGAGTGGCTAGTGGAAGGAGGTGGTAAGGGCAGCATAGCCTGTCCCCAGCCCCCCCATGCAGGAGCAGCCGGTGGGAAGGCAGGACAGTGGGGAAAGCAGCAGCAGGGAATTGGGGGTGGAAGTGAGCAGGCATGTGGGACCCACACTGGTGCCCCAGGCCTAGCAGTGGTGGGGCCCAGAGTGGGGCAGCAAGAGCATGGGCTGGTAGGGGTCGATGGAGCTGGGCTGGGCTGCGCCAGCAGGGAGAGGGGAGCTGACCTGGCTCTAGAGCCCCTGCCAGCTGGGACCTCGTGCTCCTGCCACCCTGCTTTTGGCCCCACTGGTGCTGGCCCTGGCATACCAGCGCGGACCCCACGCTCCCAACCGGCTGTTGCTGTGCTCCTGTGCGCCCACTCACTCCCAGTCCTCTCTGCCTCAGCCCTGCAGTACAGGTGGGGACAGTGCATACAGCTGTGACTCTGTGCTCACCTGTCTGGGCTGAGCAGTGGCAGCATGGGACAAACTGCTGCTCAGCATGGGGGGGAAAAGCAGCCCCTCCCCCTCCTGGAACTTCCTGGTGCAGCCACTCTCCGCTTCCTGCTCTCTGCTGAGTCACCACCGCTTCTGGGCTGCCCCATGTGTCCGCTTTGCACTGCCACCGCTGCCCCAGGGCAACCTCACGTGGGCTCTGAGCAGCTGCACCAGGAAGTGCTGGCAGCGGGAGAAAGAAGCCACTTTCCCCACCATGCTGAGTAAAAGTTTTTCTCCTGCACTGCTGCTGCTGAGCCTGGGCCCCAGCACCAGTCCAGGTTTGCCCATTCAGGCTGAGCAGTAGCAGGGCAGAAACTGAGGCTTGGCTGGGGGAGGGGGGGGGGGGGGGGGGGCGGCGGGGCGGGCAGCCGTGGGGAGAAGAGGGAAGATGAAGTGGCTCCTCCCCCTCAGCGGCTTGCCAAAACTCTGTAAGCGGCCTTCCGCCCAAAATAATTGCCTGCCCCTGCTCTAAAACAACCTCCCACAGGAGCATACTACCTACCAAGATTTAAGACAAAACTTGGTATGTTTACAACAGGTATTAGTCTCAGGCAGCCAGGCTGTACAGCAAGAATTAAACTCTATGACCCAGGAGGTCCCATCCAGCCCTCTCCCACTTATACCTCAGCAAGTTTACTATCACACAGCACTCCCAGAGCTGGCACAAGCTTCCCTAGCATAGCTCTACTGACAGATCTCAGCTCTAGAGGGCTGTGCAGTCTTCCATGACCTTCTGTGCTGAGGCTGCCTATGCCATTTCACAGGGACACATACTGCTAGGAAGTGAACGGAGACCCTGTGATGAGAACACTCCCAGATCCCTTTGACCTGAGCTGGCAAAGGCTGTACATCCTCCTCCCAACTTGCTCACAACCACCCACCCCTTTGCTCAGGTTAATCTTTAATTACTTCTTGGAACTTGGTAAGATTCATTATTCACAACTCATGAGAAGGATGAGCTGGAGAGACTGGCACAGCCAGGCACCAGGCACCACCAGCCAGCACATGCAACAGGACACAGGATATAACAGAGGCAGGGCGATGGCCACTTTCAGAGAACTGTTTTTCTTCAGGCTGTATAGCCCGAGTTTCCAGTGCCCTGACACTGCTGAGTACACAGTGGCCCATATGGAACAGCTTAACTATGATAAGCTCCAGAACAATTTGCCCCCTTCCCAGTACCTCCCCCTGCAAAATACCAGCAGAACTGAAGGATTGGGATGCTGCCTCACTCGTTTACAGGCATTGTAAGAAGTGTGGACAGAGATAGGAGACTTGAGCAGAGCTGACGGTACTCACATCATGGGCAAAGGCATATGGGGTGATCCACGTAATGAGCTGCCCCATCACCTCTGCTTGGTAATAGATCCCTTTGATGGAGAGGAACACCTGGCAGGAGACCAGACAGAGAGAGGTCAGAGAAAGGGCAGTACAGGCACTCACAGAAGTGGCAACTTGTTGTCATATTGAATGAAATAGTTTGAATGTTTGTAATGGTTGCCCATTAGCTAGTTTCAGGAAGAAGATAAATCTTATCTCCTTATCTAGGTCATTGTTTTGGACTACGTGTGGAAGATCCAGACTTTGCTCAAAGTTTCAACTCTTGAATTTTATCTTTAGAAGTCTTTAACAAAGAGAACCTGAAAATTGACCCTTAAGCAAATATCCTGAGTTCCGAAAGATCAAACCCTAGGGCCTTTTGAAAAAATTGGAAAGAAAAGGTCACTTGCAGTGGTATGGAGGTCCCCCAAAGTAATTAAAATGATCAACAAAAGAAACTAATTACTAAGCAAAAGAATCTGTTGAGTAAGATCCGAGCCCAAATTTGGGGGTAATGACAGGTTTGAGTAGGAGTGGCCCAGGACGGTAACTCACTCAATAAAAACTGTAACTTACTCTCCCAAATTGGAGGTGACTATACTTGCAGAACAACGAAGGAAGAATCGCAAGTGTAGACCGGATCAGACTGATCACCTGAACCACCCTCTCCGTGAACACGAATCTCTTAGTTCACGCTGAAGCTGCAGAGCGCCCGAAAGGGACTGAAAGAAGGGGACTTGCTCCTATCGGTATTGAGGCCAGCCCATTGAATCGTATTGCTGAGGCGAGCCCATTGAACCGTGCTACTGAGCCCAACCCATTAAATTGTACTACTGAGGAATGAAACCATATTTAGGTGTTTGGCTTCTCGGAATTCTAGGATTGTAAGTATATTATGAAAATAATAGTATTGATTCAAATTTAACTTTTAGTTGTAATTGTAGTTGTTTTTGTAATACTAATTCTTATAGCATTGTTTGGAAAGGAAGTGCATTCGGAGCATTGTTTCTGATATATGTAGTTATTGTGTTTTTAATGTTTGTGGTATTTCTTAAAGCTAAGCAGTGTTATATGCGTAGTAAAGAATTTTAAAATAAAATTGTGTTGTATGAATTAAGAGTGTAATCATTGTGAAATCGTGCAATCAACTAACTGCTCCCCCAGCCAGTGCATCAAAACGAATCAGTAAATTGTGTGGGATTTTCTCTATTCCATAACCCACTAGAGACACTTGTCAGGTAGCTGGAATAGACTGCAGCTGGGTCTGATAGCAATGCATTTCCCATGTAACAACCAATCCAGCTGCAGACCCTTCAAACCCAGTGCGATCATGCACTCAGTGCCCATCAAATCTGTAAATGGCATGAGTCTGATACAGATTAACTGCTAGCTACCTGGGAAGCGCCTGTTTCCAAAGCATAAGAATGAGCTGCAGTTTTCTCCCTGCTATACAAGATTCCTTGCACACCACCCTGCCCCCTGTATGTACTGTACTACTTATAGCGAATCACAAGAGCTGCCCCTAGCCACAAGTTACTCATCTGCAATCTCTATTACTTTGGAGCAGCTGCACACCTGAGACAGGTAGCAGAGAGAGAAATTCTTAAAATGGCTTCTCTTCAAGAAGAAGAATCAATTCCCACTGTGCTTGGCTCCAACAAGGGATGAAACAACAGACCTCTCTTAAAATGCAAAAGCATTTTGTGATACTCATGCTATGAAATGTGGCACGAAACACAGCCACAGCAAAAGCTGTGGTGCCAATCCCAGGGCAACTCCCTCCTGAGCTCCTTACCCACTTCTCCACCTCACAACCAACAGGAACAGCTCTCCTCCCATCTAATGCCAAGTTGGCTATTTTCCCTACTAGCCACTGCTGCTCAGATGTACCCCAGCAGCATGTACCTGAGGTGCCCTTCTCATCTTGCATGTATACACATGGTGTCCCCATCCTGTATCTCTGCCTCCTGCTCCCAGCTGCCAGGGCACTCCAGGGTGGGAAGACAGCTAGCCCAGGTCACCAGGAGTCACTCAGAAGCAGCCATGACCAGAATTGGGCCACTGTCCCTAGACCTAGCATGACCTCTGTCCCCTGACCTGGGCAAGCACCAGGACCTCCACCTCCAGCTCTCAGGGTTCTCTGGAATAGGATGGCAGAGGGAGGCCCTGAGTACTTGGCCTTGTCTGACCTGTACTGAAAACCAATCAAAATTGAGTTCAGAACTGTAACAGTGGGTGCATCTACAAGAGCTGCTTTACTGTGCATTAGACTAATCTAATCTAAACACTAGCCTATACGTGTTCATCAATTACTTTGCAGTAGATTAGTCTAATGTGCCGTTTCTAGTACCTGTACTGTACTTTACAGGTACTAGAAATCGGTGAAAAGCGCACATGTAGACACTGATCAGGAGAAGATTGCTCCTGGCCATCCTAGGCAGCAGGGGGCACAAGAGGTGGGGAGAGCTGTCCCAGCTCAACAGGACACTGCCTGCCAGCCACATGGAGATCTAGGCCTGTCCCGATCTCCACAAGGTCGGGACAGCTGTCCCAGCTGCCTCCCAGCCACGTGGAGATTGGGACAGGTTCCAATCTCCACATTGCTAGGAGGCAGCTACCCGGCAGCCAGGACTCTCCCCTCATGCTGCAGAGATTGGGACCAGCCCCCATACTCCTTGCCAAGGTGAGGTTGGTACGCGGGGGACCCTAGAGCTCCCCCGGGTTGCTGCAGGATGCACAGTAGGGCAGGAGCAGCCCTAGGCTGACCAACTGCTGTTGGGAGCAAATTTGCTTCTAAAGGGCACACATTCAGATGTGTGTGGGGGCGCAGTTAAATGCACCTGAATTTTCTGCGCAGAAAATTCAGGTGCATTAACTGCAAGTGTAGACACACCCAGTGAGCAGTAATTTCATTGCATCATTCCACCCCAACTGTGAGCAGCTGAGACAGGAGACAGGGTTCAGAAAACTGCAAGACTGCCAGCAGTGGCCGAGTGGATTCTGAGCACACTACAGGGCAGGGCAGGTTAGTGGAGATGACTGGCAGGCTGGGAAGCCAGGGCAGCCTGAAGCTGCAAGTGTAATTGTGACCTTAGTGCAAACATTGCTCAGGAAGCAAATACTCCCCATTTTTCCCCTAATTGTATACTTATCCACGCAAGAGAGCCTCCAGCAGGCAGGTGAGGTCAGAGAGCTATGTGGAGATCCCTGCATCGCATCCTGGACACTCTTAACACCCCCACCCCCCCGATGGAAGAGGGCCCTGTGATGGATGGACAGGCTCTTACCTTACGCAGGCAGCGGGAGGCAATGATGTAGTTGAGGAACTCCACAGTGAGGCGGCGACACAGCTGAATTGTCTGCACGTGGCATTTGCCTGTCCGTGGAAAGGTGGCAAAGAGGAAACACATGGAAAGTACATCATCCAGATCCCGCAGGGCATCAATGAATGTTGGGTACCTGCAGCCACCATGGAAGACCCCAGTGAGAACAGGAAGGAGCACCAAATAGCAACACCCATTAACCTGCCAAGAGTGGCATCACTCAAAACCCAGACTGCACTGGAACTACAAGACCAGTGCCACCTTATGGCCACTGAGTGGCCACCATGAACCAGCAATGGGACAGGATCTGGCATTTCAGAACCACTGTAGTGAGTAGCCAACCCCAAACCAGATTTCATCATTGTCAAAAGTAGCACCTAATGCCAACAACGCCACTTAGGACAGCACCCTCGAGTGAGGATTGGAGAGGTTGACATCCACCCTGGGGAAGTTCAGGTAGGTTTAGTGACCAGGTGCAGTTGTTCACAATACCAAACTTGTGGCAAAAAGAAAAAAAAACACAAAACAAAGCAGAGAGTGAGACCAAGGCATTTAACAGGTTTGTTAGCATGAGACTAATGCATGACCCTTTAAATTGCTCAGTCACCCGATTTTTGCTAACATGCTAGCAATGCCCTGACTTCATGCCCTGCTTGCAACGTATTTTATACCTACCCACCCAACTAGGACTGGCTGGGAACACTTCCACCCCCAGCATCTATACTTTAGCATTACTAAGGTAATGCTACACTTGCTATAAGCTTTGCAATGAACAACTGGTCTCCAAGGGTGCAGGCATTACTGCCAGTTCAGCACAGATATGAGGGTATTGGGTTAGAATAGTACTGGAATGCAGAGCCAAGTGTTAGAGAGAGAGAGAGAGGCACTGAAAGACGGGATTTATAGAAACAGACACTTAACTGCATCTTTCAGTGCCCAGCTATCTTTTCAGAAACGTGGTCTACAGCACTGGGATGTTTGTCTTTACTTAAGGCACTCTGCCAAACCCTGCAACAAAGCTTCTACAGTTTAAATGCCAAGGTAAATGGGAGGCAGCATGGACTTGGTCCCCAATACGAGCGAGGAGATCTAGGTCATAGTTTGGTTCTGCTTCCTCCCCTCCATCCACCGGGTGTTTGTTTGTTTGTTTTAAGTGTAAGATCTTCATGGCAGGGACTATAGGCCCTGTGGGGATGATGGTACAACAGTGAACACATTCTTTGGATTCATTACTGTCAACATGGGAATGGGGTACATCAGATACATCTTCAAGATCAACACCCCTCCAAACCTAACTCTGGGCAGGATCCCTGACATGGGCCCTTGGCCCATGTTCACTTAATAGCGTGATGGTGGGATCTGTTCCCCAATCCTAATAATCACACCTTCTGACATGTCTCACACGCATAGCAGTAAATGCAATGTTTACTACCCAATTGCACCATTTGTCAGTGCAGGGGGAGCCCAGGATCATAATCCTATACCAGCAAGTAGAAAGCTGGATGCTGGGGAATCAGTGTAGTCCCAGGGCTGTTCCAGCTCCAGGACCTCACCAGAGATGGTACAAGGCTCCAGTGCCGTCCCAGGGATGAGACTGAATCAGCTGATTGCACATTCCAGTATCAGGACAGCACTGGGGCCAGTTCAAGAGCCCTGCCAGACAGTTGGCATCAGACTACATTTGGGGAAGGGAGGCACAGGAAGGAACAGACACTGCCACATGTTCAATTTAAGGGACAATGGGCATACATTTTGTGGAATAAATTGTGGCTTATGTCCCATTTTATTACGCAATTGACTGCAAGAACATGTGGCCAGTTACTATTTAAGACATGATTATTATGCCTTATATCAAATGTCTGCCAAGGGCTACGAGGAAAGCAGGTGAGCTGTTATCTCACTACATAGCATACAACCACTTGGAGGGCTAGGAATATTTCCTGAGTCCAGTGACTACTCTCCACTGTTTTGCTGCAACAAATAACTGTGTTCGAGTTCAGCTCATAGGCAACTATTTCTAAACATTTGTAAGCCAGTGACATAACTTATTGGAAACTCTGAATGTGTTGGTTATAGGAGGTACAACCGCAAGTCTGGAAGCTTGCAAGAGGCTGTCTGGCACGCCTTGGGCACTGAAGGCTTCAACAGACCCTACAACAGCAGGGTGCAAAGATGTCCAGTTCAGCCAAATGCTGTGATGTGTTCTTACAAATGAGAACAACTCTTCCATGTTTGTAACCATGCAGTTTGGTTGCTTTGTTTGCCATGCAGCACTGGTCAGGATGTGATCAGTGCCCCAGCCTCCTCACCTCTCCTTAACAATGTGGTCAAGTTTGTAGCTGGGCTTGTTATCCTTCAGCCGCTCCACCGTGTTCCATTCGCTTTTCCCATATGCCTTCCGAAGCTTCCGGACAAACACCTGAGAGAGACAGAGATCTGGTCAGCTCCAGGGAGGGAAACCCATCCCATGAGGACAATATTAGGAACTGGGACCGCGTAACTGCTTCCTGCACCAAACACGCTTCTGGTTACTGGGGCAGAGGAAGGGGTTCAAAAGAGAGTGGCATTAGTGAGATGATGTGCCCAGATCCAATATACTTCCAGCAATGTCATGGGGTGGGCCAATGGTCTCCTCTCAAAGGTCATGTGTGGGTTAAGATACCCCTGCAAAAAACAGGTTCCACTACTGGTTCCACTCAGACCAACCCAGTAATCCACACAGATAAGACAGAAAGTTTGAGGAGTACTTGCTTAAGATAACACAAGAGTTGGTAGGAGGGCTGGGAAGAGAATTCAGGAGTCCTGGTTCTCATTTGAGTACCATGGTCGCTGGACAATACTAACCTGTTCAACTCTCCATAGCAGGTGAGCCAAAAGCCCCAAATGAACCTGCTAATATTTCATTATCTATAAAAGCCTACTTGGTTTTTTACTTTTGGACTTCTTCCTGCTCATGATTTTGTGAAAACAAAGTGATATGGCACATTACCAAGCACAAACAGATTCAGAGCAACACACCTTCTGCACCAGGAATGCCTGATGCCCAGAGTTTTTACATCAACCACCCTCTTTATGAGGTCAAACTAAGCACCCTGCTAGAGCAGCTAGCGTCTGGCAGCTCCTATTCAATATCTAAACCACAGGTCTCCCCATCACAGAAGCAGCCTCAAGATCCAGTGGGTCAGGAATATGCACAACTGAGAGGGGTGGGGGCAGCAGCTATACTCTGCTGTTAAGACAGGCAAGGTAAACCAATAATCTCAGCACAAGATGCTACAGGGTGACAGGAAAGCTGTTTCTTAGAGCGAACACAGCTTTGAAATAACAGATACGTGACTCTATGCAAGATGAACAAAGCTACAGTGTCTAACTGCTCCTTGCTGCACAGAGTACCTTATAGTCCCGGAACTTGTTAATGATGGGCTCATGGAGAAGAAATTTGATGTCTTTGAGGAGGTAGAAAGTCCGTGCTGCTGTGGAGCCTTTGTTTACTTTTTTCTTGTGCTTTGGCTCATGAGGGTAAACCCCCTTCAGGATACACAGCCGCCTGTAACAAACAAACAGATGAGATGCAAAATACCTCAAATCCAGAGGTACTGGATGGCTCACACGCTTACTAACAGGATACAAAGCTTTCCCCCTTTAAGCCATTGCAGGCAGTAGCTGCCAGAGTTTACTATGCCAACTGAGCAAACAACTGTTGCAAGTTATGTAGATGCCCTAAAATTTGAACACAGAGTTAAGGTTGCGTAGGGCTGCCAAAATGGAAGAGCAGCTAAACTTAGATTTGTGTGTACCTTTTCTAACTTTCTGAGGTAAAGTCACACATACTCCACTTTGCAACCTCAGCATGTGTGTGGGCCACAGTGTGGACAAATCAACAATTAAAAAAATAAGATTTTTAAAATTTAAAATCAGATTTTTTGCATTTAATAGTCTTTCATTGTTTTTGTTAAGATGTTTTAAAAAAAAACCTACATAAAGATAACTTTAATATAACACATGTTAAAGTACAAAGATATCATCATAGAACAGGGATTATAACTTCTAATTACATACTATTTGAAACAATATATTCATGTAACCGTTTTAGAAAAAAGTTTTATAAATAGGTCACACAGGCCATGGACTATATTAGGGGTCCAATCTTATGGGGTTCCCGGAGGTTACTTTATAGATTCGTAAAGATTAAAGAAAACCACACTGCTCAGTGGGACTCAGCACTCAGCCTAGAAGATCTAATTAAGCATCTCTGTGAGAACTGAAACTAAGCAAACTGTGGATTTGTGTCTTCAGAGGTAACATCCTTGTTAACAGCAGTATAGGGAGATGTGTAGGTAATCAGGGCTGTTATCTCTCATCAGCCCAACTGCCTCTGCAAGTTCGTGCACACACAGTCAAGCCCTTACCTTTCTCTAAAAGTGTAAAGTTTCAAGAAGTTAAACAAATAAAGGATAACGCAACAAGAATGCACTTTTTGTAGAAAACAATGATTAAACCAAGGCTTCTTGACTAGCAATTTAAATTGTGATTTGTTTTAAATCAAATCCACCCTGGCGACAGTTGATTTGAAAGCATTGGCTTGGGAAATTCCCTCAAGCAGGCCTAAGATGATCCACACAAAAGCCCCACGCAGAGCAGCAGAATGGTTCAGAGAAACATGGGACCTGAAGGGGCACCCCAAGTCCGCAAGTCCAGTGTACAGTATGAAACGTGCATTCTAAATTAGCTGTTTTATTCCTGTTACTTTTTAAACAGTGAAAAGCCCCTATAACAAGTGGAACTGACATAGGAGCAATTTCTGGGCCTGATGTGATCTGCCTATAGCAGGATTTATAACAATGAACTGCTAATTCATACCTCTAACATCTCAAAAATAGTTCCCGCCCCTTTCAGCATAGATGCATCGCTCATTGCTCCGAAGTATAAAAACATTATTGTCACAGGCAGAGGGTAGTTGTACAACCAGGCATCATTTTTAAAATGCTGTTAAAATCTAGTGTCTACAGCACACTGCCCTATGCTACACTGTGACTGACATCAGGCATGCTTCCAGACTCTATAGCAGGGATGGGCAAAACATGGCTGCAGGCCGGATCCAGCATGCCAGCCCATTCTATCCGGCCCGTGGAGCCCCTAAAAAGTTTAGAAAATGACTATCTATCTGCTCCTGGCTGCCTGTCAAAGAGGATAGGACATGGGGCAGTAGGACCTGGGGGGGGGGGGGGGGGGGGGGGGGCGGGGGCCGCGC